ATATATATATATATATATATATATATATATATATATATAATTTTTCGATGAAGGAGTATCGGTTCACATCCTCTAAATACATGTGGCTCCGCCACTGAATATAGCGTTCTTTTTGCCTATGAACTCATTGACTGGAACATGACAAAACCGGCAAACGTGACTAATGCTTGGGGGTTGCTTGGTTCAAAGACAAGTTATGCAAGAATTAATTAAGAATGCATAGGTTACAATGTACGCATTGATAATGTTAAAATTAGTAATGCAAAAATTAGCGATACATGAATTACATTAATAATGTAGGGATGATTAGCACTACAAACATTATCAATTTTCTTTTCTCCTCATGAAATAAAATTTACCTTTTTATAACTATGATGTCCGGGTCAACTTGATCATACCTCGACTAATATCACAAAATACTTATTATCTCCTACCAACAACACGTATCAAATAATTCTATCCACCACGCGCCGGGAATTGAAGAAACAAAAATTCTATTTGCTTCATGGGAAAAAGATTGGAAAAAGAAACCCATAAAGAAATGGTTATAAGTAACCGACTTAAAATTAAGTCTATCTCCTCTGCACTCCCACACCAGCGACACTACTGAATGTGTCCAAGTTTTGCCGAAAACAGAAAGATAACGCCTACCCGCCCATAGTTGTAACTAGTACGTAATCTAATCTTTTGCTCCCTCATCATTTTCATTTTTATATAATTATGATGGTGTGAGCTAAATAAGCAATTTAAGAAGAGAAAAAAAGGATTTATTTTTCATACAGATATACTTAAAGCAAGTTTAGCTGATCATCTTAAACATATTTTGAGATCAATATGCTATAACAAGATTTATGGTAAATACTTATCCATACCGGGTCATTAAAGATAAAAAGAAAAGATTAAAGATATAAATTCTCAAATTTAAAAATATATTAATTCTTTTTTAAAACAAACTGAAAATAAAGAATAGATGAATAATTTTTAACTTTTTATGTTGTTTTTAGGAGCAAACACTACAATATAACAACAATAACATAGTCAGTGTAATCACATAAGTGGGGTCTGGAAAGGATAGTATATACGCAGACCTTACCCCTACCTCGCGAAGATAGAGAGGTTGTTTTGGATGGACCCTCGGCTCAAAAGCAAACACCTAGTTCCAATATATGTACTTCCCAACCTCTTTAAATCTAATGCAGAACAACAGCAAACTTAGCTAACTTGATTGTTTTCCCTTTTTTTCTTTTTGAACTCCAAAATGAAGACTTTGATATATCTTGTCATATTGCTACTTACCTTAACATTGAAAACAAGCAGCAGCAGAAATAACCTAGTAGAAACCACATGCAAGAACACACCAAACTACAACCTCTGCCTAAAAACTCTACTCTCCGACAAACGCAGCGCCAGCGGTGACATCACGACGCTGGCGCTGATCGTTGTGGACGCCATCAAAGCGAAAGCGAATCAGGCGGCGAAAATCATCTCAAAGCTACGTCAATCCAATCCTCCAGCAGCCTGGAAAGTTCCATTAAAGAAGTGTGCCTTTTCGTATAAGGTAATTTTAACAGTAAGTTTGCCTGAAGCTATTGAAGCTTTGACTAAAGGGAACCCAAAATTTGCTGAAGATGGTATGGTTGGATGTTTTGGTGAGTCTCAGGATTGTGAGGAGAATTTCAAGAGTAGTTTTTCTCCTCTTACTGGTTTGAACACTGCAGTGCATGAGCTTTCTGCTGTTGGTAGAGCAATTATTAGGAATTTATTGTGATGCATTCCCTTTTATGTGTCGGTAAAGTTGTTTCTGTATGACCAGGTCACGGGTTTGAATCGTGAAAGCAGCCACTAATACTTCCATTAGGATAGACTGTCTACGTCACACCCCCTAAACCCCTTAGGGAGCGTGAACCTAAAATATTTTGTGCGCCGGGTTGCCCTTTGTACACCAGGCATCCCCTTTTACATGTATAGAACTCCTTTTTAGTAATTGTATTTTCACCTCACCTTTTGTTAGTGATCCAGTTTAGATGATTGTATATATGGTTATCTTGTTTTCTTTCTTTCTTTCTTTGGGGAAATTCTTATTTTCGGCCTTAACACCTAAGGGAGCTCAAACCCGTGGGTAAATATGAATTTGTTTTCTGGTGATCTGATATTTCTATAGTTCCCCATGTTTCTGTTTCTTTTTGCTTTTCTCCCCCTTTCCTCCCTGTCCTTGTCACTGTTCCAGCATTAGCACATGGTATTTATGGTAGGGATGTAAATGGGGCGGGGCAGGGTAGGGCGGGGTAGGTCAAGCCTTGACCCGCTAAAATTTTGACCCGCCTTGCCCGGCCCCGTTTAGCTTTTAGTCAAAATTTTACCCTGTCCCGCCCCGCCCTATTAATCCCTACCCCGCCCTGCACCGTTTAGACTCTTTTTTTATCTTTTTCTCTTTATTTTGTATTTTGCAGTATGCTTTTAAATTTTTTAGTCAAAATTTCTTTTCTAGCAGCGTGCTTCTTCTGTCATAGAAAATAGAAGGAAATCTACAATTAAAGGGATAAAAACGTGAGTGCTCATATGTACAAGATAGTATTAATGTAAATTCAAATAATCAATGCAGTTCCAGATGACACAAGTTAACATGAAAAGGAATCAGAATTTAACAAAGCTGTATAGGGTCAAATTTGACCCTCAGTATCTCTACGCCAGTGGGTACGCCCAATGAGTGTACGCCGTCCAACGTAGCGGGTACGATTCGGCCGTGAGGACAAAAGCGACATCGTTTAGAACTCAGCGTCCACGATAGGGAGACGTTACCTATTTTTGTAACTTTTTGATTCTTTCGAGGAAGGTCTCCTATTATATAAAGGAGACCTCCACATTGTAAAAGGGGGATCTGATCTAATACAACTCTCATTTTTCTGGCTTTCTCTCTCTATATCTCTACCTCTAACGAAAATATCTTATTGGTAAACATTATCACTTTGCAATATCAGATCTACAACAATATTATCATCTTTGCATCTCTAGGCTTATTATATTTGATTACGATTTACCCCTTTTCTATTTTTGATTGTTTTATCGCTTACAAAGTATATCGTTAACTTTTGAGCCAAACAATTTGGCGCCGTCTGTGGGGATTTCGAGAATCAAAATCATAGTATCCACCTAGAGATCAACCAATTACCACTCTCTACACTACACAAAAACATAAAAATGGCAGAAAATAGCACAAGATCGAAAGCCATATTGGGTGTCACTACCAATCTCCTGGGCCCTCTCAACAAGGCCAGTGAAGGTGGAATCCTGAATGCAACCCTTAGCATCACACCAGGTGCAGAGATCTCACCTTCCCTATCCGAAGGCCTGACGATCTTGCACGAAAAAGGAGCTTCCACATCTGCGGCTACGGAAGCACCCTCAGCGGTCAAAGAGCTACTGGAAAGATGGCTAACAAGCACTCTAAGTGGCTTGGTTGAGAGGTCACCGCAAAATAACATCGTATGTACACCAACGGTAGGTACCACTGCTGCCGTGGGTGAACCGGAAGCTACACTAGTAAATAACAGACCCATCGAGACACAGACCAACGATGGCACGCTAACAGCCATCCTAAACAAGATGGAAGAAATGGAAAATGAAAACAAGGCGCTCCGTGGTCAGATGAAGGAACATTAGGAGAGGGTCGACAAGATCCCCGGTGCTCCCAAGTTGCTACCAAAATGCGACGTGGGAAGGTTCGTTGAACAACCATACACCGAAGAAGCTGCTCCTCACTCCACCCCAAAAACCTTCAAGATGCCACCATACTTAAGGGTATATGACGGAACCACAGTTCCCGAGGATCATCTGATCCACTACGTCACCGCTGTGAAGGGCAACGACCTATCGAAAGAATAGGTACCGTCGGTACTGCTGAAGAAGCTTGGCAAGACGTTGACAGGAGGGGCCTTAACATGGTACTCTCAGCTACCGGCTAAGGCAATATCAACGTTCGAGGAAATAACGGATAAATTCGTCACAGCCCATGCAGGCGCGAAGAAAGCAGAGGCCAGGCTCAACGACATCTTCGCCATCAGGCAAAACGCAGGAGAAGGACTCAGGGACTTCCTGGCAAGGTTTAACAGGGTAAGGATGAGTCTACCAAACGTATCGGAAGGTATGGCAGTCGCCGCTTTCCAGAACGGGCTAAGCAGAGATGGCTCGAGGGCAACCAAGAAGCTGCTGAGCCGCCTCATGAAATATCCCCCTACCACATGGGAGGAAATTCACAACGCCTATTGCGCCGAGGTACGAGCGGACGAGGATGATCTTAATGGGCCGACCCAACGGCTAACAGCGATACACTCAGAAACAAGGAGAGATCGATGGAACGAAGGACGACGGGAACAACTCCCCCGCTCCAACAGAGATCGACACCAGCCTTACACCAGATCCTCCCATCCGCCACCAAGGCATACAGACGCACTACAGCGACACGTCGCCCCACTGCGAAACGAAAGAGGTACGCCCCCTTTATTAACTGCCCATAACTTTTGTGTATCTCCTTCAGAGATAGTGTACGCAGAAGCTAGGCACCAAGGTGCATTGGCCGCAGAAGATGAAATCAGACTCCGCCACAAGGAAATCAAACGCCCTATGTGAGTTCCATCAGGAACGAGGACACAAAACCGAAGACTGCATAGGCCTACGGCAAGAGGTGGTCAGGATGCTGAACCAGGGATACCTGAGGGAGCTACTCAGTGACAAAGGAAAAATCAACTTTGCACGCGGACGGGAACAACTCCACGGGCCGCCGAAGCCACCTTCCCCAGCGCGCACGATAAACATGATCGTCGGAGGCGGCGACGACTCAGCGATCAATCACGTCAAGCTCGCCACCACACACAGACTAAAGCGGACCATCGCCCATGAACGGTATGAGGACTTCGAAGATTGTATCACCTTCGATAAGTCTGATGCCGACGGTTTGTCTTTCCCTCATTATGATGCCTTAGTTATCACTTTACGTATCGCTGATACGGATGTTAAAAGAGTCATGATCGATGACGGAAGTGGCGCCTGTATTATCCACCCAAGGGTCCTCATACAAATGGGACTCGAGGATAAGGTAATACCGCACTGCATAACACTAACCGGTTTTAACAATGCAGTGGAACGGACGTCCGGAGAAATAGCACTGCCCGTCTTAGCGGGAGGAGTCACGCTGGAAACAACTTTCCACGTGATGAACCAAGAAACGGCGTACAACGTCATCATAGGACGCCCGTGGATACACGCCATGCGAGCGGTCCCTTCAAGCCTCTACCAAGTGATCAAATTCCCTACCCCATGGGGAGTATTCAGTATTCGAGGCGAGCCACGCACCGCACAAGAATGCTACAAAATAGCCCAAGACTGCGCCCACACCCAACAGCTAAAGGGGGCGAGCGCGGAGGCATAGCAATTAGCCGTGTCGGGAACTAAGGTCAACCCGACAGCGGACGTCATCAAAGACCCTGACGTCGTGGAAGCCTGTAAAGCAACGGTCGAAGACCTCGACCCAGTCCAATTGGACAAAACCGATCCTACGAAGAAAGCCTATATCGGGCAAGGTCTCGCCAACCCAAGTAAGTATTGTGAATTCTTAACTAACCATGCAGATTTGTTCGCCTTTTCCCATTCAGATATGCCGGGAATCCCGCGAGACATCGCCACCCACAAGCTGAATGTCGATCCATTACATCCGCCCGTGCGACAGATGAGGAGAAAATTCAACGCCGCCATCAATGAAGCGGTCGGTAAGGAAGTAGACGAGCTACTGGCCAACGGCTCCATCAGAGAATCAAAGTACCCCGAGTGGGTCGCCAATGTTGTCATGGTCAAAAAGAAAAACGGGAAGTGGAGAATGTGTGTGGATTTCACCGATCTGAACAAGGCATGCCCAAAAGATTCATTCCCACTACCCCACATCGACCAACTGATCGACGCCACTGCAGGACATGAACTACTGAGCTTCCTAGACGCCTACTCCGGCTACAATCAAATCATGATGGCCGAGGAGGACCAAGAGAAAACTTTCATCACCCACCAAGGGACTTACTGCTACAAGGTAATGCCCTTCGGGCTCAAAAATGCGGGGGCTACATACTAGAGACTGGTAACCAAAATGTTCAAAGAGCAGCTCGGTAAGACTATGGAAGTCTATATCGACGACATGCTGGTAAAGTCGACAAGAAACGAGGACCACATCGACCATCTGAAAGAAACCTTCGAGATACTGAGAAGATACGGGATGAAACTGAACCCCGAGAAATGCGCCTTCGGCGTGGCATCAGGAAAATTCTTAGGGTTTGAAGTCAATCCAGATCAGATCAAGGCGATAGACGCAATACCGGAGATACTGAACAGCAAAAAGCAGGTGCAAAAGCTGACGGGGCGAATAGCCGCCTTGTCTAGGTTCATCTCACGGTCCTCCGACAGATGCCATAAGTTTTTTAATGTGCTGAGAAAGGACAAAGGGTTACAGTGGGATGAGGGATGCGTCGAGGCCCTAAGGAAATTGAAAGCGTACCTATCCTCACCGCCACTGCTAGCCAAAGCCAACCCAGGCGATCCACTGCTGGTATATTTAGCCGTATCAGAGGTCGCCGTTAGCGCAGTCCTAGTTCGTGAAAATGAAGGTACGCAATCTCCTATTTACTATATTAGCAAAACCTTAGTGGACGCCGAAACACGGTATCCACACCTTGAAAAATTAGCGTTGGCATTGGTCGTAGCTTCACGGAAGCTCCGACCCTATTTCCAATGCCACCCCATAAAGGTAGTAACGACCTTCCCCTTGAGAAGTATCCTGCACAAGCCTGAGTTATCAGGCAGACTCGCCCGATGGGCCATAGAGCTCAGTGAGCACGATATCTCATATCATCCAAGGAACGCCATCAAGTCGCAGGAACTTGCCGACTTCATAGCCGACTTCACCGCAGAGATACTACTAGAGGCGGAATTGGAGGCACGCCGTGCCCCCTCCAACGCCGACCTATGGACTCTTTACACTGATGGCGCCGCTAACGCCTCGGGATCGGGACTGGGACTCGTTCTCGAGGTCCCCATGGGCGAAACAATTCGCCAGTCCATACGATGCCCCGAGATGACTAACAACGAAGCCGAGTACGAGGCTGTTATTGCAGG